TATCTCCGCACCCAATTAACTCATGGATCTTCACTTCCTGACCCAATTGACCTTGGGCCCAAACCCTTTCTTCCATTAATCAAGCAAGGGATAATAACATTATAATGGGAGACAACCCTCTTACAAACACAAGAATTATATATCCATTATAACTTTTTAATTAGATTTGGAATCATAGTCAAGAATTATGGACTCAAAAGCCAAAATTCTGGTACTTAAATTTATCATGACTTCAAATTAGCTTGGTTGGCGTGAGTGACTGTCCACCCTTATCCCTTAAGAGAGGTCGGGAGTTCAATCCTTCTCATATGGAATAACCAATCTAGCCAGCACTTTGTCCCTTAATTGAGCCAATAGTTATGCTGTGCAATCAAATGCACCATGCGCATGGTGCATACGATGCTAAACGACGTCGTTTTGACTAAAAACGCACGTCCCACTTAAAAAAAAAATCAGGTTCGATTCTCGACAATAGCATATTTCTGGATATATAGTTATGAATTTATGGATATTTAGTTCATTCATTGTGGATATTTAGTTCATTCATTGCAGATATTTACTTCATTCATTCACTGTAGATATATAGTTATGAATTTATGGATATATAGTTATGAATTTCTGGATGTATAGTTATTTATTTATGGATATTTAGTTCAATCATTGTGGATATTTAGTTCATTCATTGTGAATTTTTACTTCATTCACTCACTGTGGATATATAGTTATGAATTTGTGGATATATAGTTATGAATTTATGGATATATAGTTATGAATTTATGGATATATGAAAATGTTATTGCCGGGAATCGAACCTGATTTCTTTTTAAGTGGGACGCGCGTTTTTTAACTAAAACGACGTCGTTTTGCATCGTATGCACCATGCGCATGGTGCATTCGGTTGCACAGCATAATTTGCGTAATTGGGCGACCCGGTGCAAACCGGAATTAGTTTGAGTATGGTATGAATTTAAAGATATCTCTTACAATTAGGGCTTGCTCAGGACACTTCATGGTTTGACCTCAAAATTTTTTTTTGAGAAAATTTCAATTTTGGTCCTACGACTATAGAGGTCTTGTTAATTTTAGTCCTTGACTTTCAAAAGTGTCAATTTTGTACCTTAACTATGTAATTTTTGTCAAGAGTTAATTCCAGCAATGGTCCTCCGACTATATTAATTTTCCAAAATTAGTCCCCGACTTTTGATTTGGACACTTTACATCCCTTGACTTTCAATTTCTTTCCAATTGAGGTCCTTTCGTCAAATTACGGTAAAATGAACTTTAAATGAAAGAGTAAAGTAGTCATTTCTTCTGCCTAATGTATAATTCTTCGTATTTCTTTCTTGTATACGCAACTTCGGGCATCAGATTCACTTAATTGCTTAATCACTAATGGAATTTTTTTTTCGAGTGGATTTAGGGATTAAGCAATTAAGTGAATCTGATGTCCGAAGTCACGCATACAAGGGAGAAATACGAAGACTTATACATTAGGCAGATGAAATGACTACATTACCCTTTCATTTAAAGTCCAATTTACCGTAATCTAACGAAAGGACCTCAAGTGGAAAGAAATTGAAAGTCAAGGGACGTAAAGTGTCCAAATTAAAAGTCGATGACTAATTTTGGAAAATCAATATAGTCGGAGGACCATTGCTGGAATTAACTCTTTTTGTCAATTTTGATCACTCCGGCCAAATTACCGGTCAAAAGTGGCCGGAAAATTTTAATGTATAAAATTTTGAGGGCAATCTAGTCATTTTACTTCTGTTTTCTTTCTTCTCTCTTCTCTCCGGTTTCCGACGATCATTTCTTCCTCCGTTCTTGAAGCTGCCGCCGTCGTCCTTCTTCTCCCCTGTTTGAATGAGTTTGGTCCTCCCTTCTTTCCAAAGCCAACAACGGCAGTCACGAAGGGGCGGTGGCATACAGTTTAATAAACCAGAAAACAAAAATAAACACAATCAGACAACAAATGTACTATAATATAGTATAGATTATGACCGACGGCAACCTTAACATTTCCGGCTTCTTTGATTGCAACAATGATCACCCAATTGCATGTATGCAATACAACCGCCGCTTCGTAACTGCCGTTGTTGGCTTTGGAAAGAAGAGAGGACCAAACTCATCCGAACCGCCGCTTCGTCACATACCTTACGATCTATGAATCCGAGGAATGTTCCGAAGACAAAAGCATGCTAAATGCACCCAAAACAAAATCACATAATTGAACTGCCGGTTAAGAAAGAGAATGTTGAGCTCTGAGTTTACCTAAGTTATTAGTTATTTATTTATTTATTTATCCATCAATAATAAAAAGATGGCGAATTCTGAAGAGGAAAGATTCAATCTCTTCGCCCAGAGCTCTGTTTGGCGAATTAATCTGTGGCGCGGCGGTGGCCAGTCGGTGGCGTTGAAATTTCTCCTGACAATTATTGAGGTTAGTGCATAAGTATGACACTAATTGTAGGCTTAATTATGATGATCATTCGGTGATTGAAAATGGCTTCTAAGCTTCAACAAGTTTCAGCCAAAATTTTCCGGCCGCGTAGAAGAGAAGAAACGGAGAAAAAAGAAAAAAAAAAAGAATAGCAAATGACTAAATTGTCCCCAAAATTTTATACATTAAAATTTTCCGATCACTTTTGACCGGCAATTTGGCCGGAGTGATCAAAATTGACAAAAATTACATAGTTAAGGTACTAAATTGACACTTTTAATAGTCAAGGACTAAAATTAACAAGACCCCTATAGTCGTAGGATCAAAATTGAAATTTTCTCCTTTTTTTTTTTTTTTTTTTTTTTTTTTTTTTAATGACTTCATTCCTAATAAAACTAATGGTGAGGACGCTGTCATTGCCGAATCCCAGTAGACAGACATTGTGATTGTGATGAATTTGTTTGGTCAGTTGGGGGCTCACTATATGTCCCGTGAAAGTGTTTCAAAACACTTTTCACCATTCAGTTTGGATAATTGGATTGTTTGACACAAGAAAGGAAACATTATCTTGCCAACGAAAGAAGGAAAGACAAAACATAATTTTTTTTTAAAGAAACAAAACAAAAAAGTGGGTTATATGAGTTTGGCCATATAGTCAGTCTTAGGCGAGTTTTACAACATATATTCTCAAATTTTACTTCTTCATTTTTACTTTCTGACATATTAAACAAAAGTGGTCTATTTTCATCACGTGAGTCCAAACAAAATGTCTACATTAAAAATGTGAGTAAAACTTGGGACTCCACGTAATAATTTCGGTCATAGGCATGGCACCTGGATGGCTGGATGCTATTGTGTTTCAGTATAAAAGATACTGTCTCTGCCCTTTAGCTGTAGATTGATTTGCTTTTGTCGGAAGTGGCCTGGCATATGCATGGTGTTTCAAGCTCAAAGCTCATAATGCCATGCTCAATTGCTACACCATTCACATATGTTTTTTTTTTTTTTTTTTTTTTTTAAATATAATAAACATTATGGACATAAATAAACCTTAGGAGTATTATTATCTAGCTAATACCATGTTCAAGATTCATTTCAGATTCGCCTAATAATAGAATCAGTTAAATTTATTGTCAAATGTCAACTCTTTGATACATTTTTAAATAAGTTTTATCATAAGTAAAATTTGAACAACCTGTAATTAGATAAAGGAATTTTTCCTAATTCCTAAGTAATATGAGTATTTGTCCAAATATTTATATTTTTCATTTGATACAACAGTAAAAAAAAAAAAAAAAAAATAAGGGTCAAATAGGTCATTGAACTACACACAATAATGCAATTAGGCTATTGAACTTTAAAAAATCAACAATTGGGTTCCTAAACTAACCAATTTCAAACAATTCTACCAATTTGTAGGTTTCCAACAGGTCAACCGGTCATCTTCCCAATTTAATTATTTTTTAAAAAATAAAGTTTTAAAATTAATTATTTAAATTAAAAAGAAAAGAAAAGAAAAAAAAAAGGGACTCCGCCCGGAGACGAAACGAAGAAACCTTCTTCGTCTCCCTCCAGTTTCTTTGTAGACGACATTAGTAGTCGCAACACAATCTTGTCCATCCCCATCTAGATGGTCATTGCATATGCAAGCATCTACGAGAATTGTTTACGCTGGAACTTGAAGGGCAATCTCGTATTTCAAAGAGTGAGAGACATTCGGGGGATAAGAACTTTGGTTCCTTCACGTATCCCATTAGCTATTCTTGCTTCGACAATGTGATCTGCCAATCTTGTGATGATGAGCCGCGTCCCGTTACAAAGACCAAGAGGAAGTAGTCTATGTTCCGCAATAACACAATAGGTGCATCGACATTTAAAGTCAATGAATGATTAGGAAAACCCGACAATCTCAAACTATTTAAGAATTCAGGAGTGCGTACTTTTGATAGATTTTCACTGTCTAATTCTGCCTTACATAAAGAGTCACAACTTAAATATGTTCATCCTTCTGCAGTATTCATGTCGTACATGTACTGATTAATTTGATCAACGACATCTAAAGTTGACGAGAGGATCCCTCATCCTTCTACCTGCGACTCATCAAGCATGCCATATCTCGAGCTTTGAAGGTGCTTTCCACTATAGTTGTTATGGGATCGTGTCCAAACTTCAACAAAAACCATGCCGAAATATCGATCTCAAATGAACCGCCGTTTACAACCCTTGCAATCCCATCTCCGATGTCTGCAATCCATTTTGAAATCCAATCAACCGTCTGTCTATCTTCCTTTGAAGCTAAGGTCCGTAATGTCAAGTTCTTGGTGAGCCTTAATACCTTGCAATTTGTCCACAGGTATGAAGAATTAATAGTTGCTCCGACAACTACTGGTATTGTTGCTTTTGGAATAGCAGGTAGGATCTGTCTAAAATCGCCACCAAAAACTATTGTCTTTCCACCAAAATTCTTTTCAGCACTACCCAATATGGCGAACCTCAGTAGATCCATCATGATTTTGTCCAAAGCCTTAAAACAGTGTTTGTGTGTCATCAGTGCTTCATCCTATATTATCAATTTGCTCCTTATTATAAGCTCAACAAGGTCACTGCCTTGCGATATATTGCACGTGGAATCTTCGTTCAAAGAGAGTGGTATAGCAAATCTGGAATGCGTCATCCTACCTCCCGACAAGAGCAAAGATGTTATTCCACTAGAAGCATCATTCAGAATAATATCATCGTGGCTCCTTATCTTTGACGATAACGTTCTCCACACGAACGTCTTGCTTGTTCCTCCGTAACTATACACAAATAAGAATCCACCTCCATTAGAATTAATATCATTCATAACAGAGTCGTAAGCATTCTTTTGTTCGTCAATAAATTGTGTTACCAATGTTTCATGTTCTGTCTTGAACGATTCATTGTCATACGCCAAATCTTCGGCTATCAATTTGTTTTTACTCAAACACATGCTAGTTTCGTCTGGGATTGACTTTTCTAGAAAGTCTTACAGGCTCTTTCCCCACAAAGATAGCAACTTCTCCAACTTCACCATATAAGCAAACTATTTTTTATTTGATTCCGATAACATCAACTCTTAAAAGGAAAAAAAAGGAGAAAAAATTAGTTTATTTATAAATAATGAAAAGCAAATAACAAAGTCGAATAAATAGATTAGAGTAAACTAAATATCATTGATTCAATATTGAGTAGTGACGAAAAAAATCAGAATATGAATTTTAATATTGTTGCATTTTTAATATTAAATAGATTGCACAATATAATATTTGTTGTTATAATTTATATAATTGTATATCAATTCAAATATTCTTAAAATTCTAGTATTTTCAACAGTGCATTGCACGAAATTAATTTGTTATAATATTTTAGGAATATTTGAATCGATATACAATTATATAAATTATAACAACAAATATTATATTGTGTAATTGATTAAATGGGTTGGATCGATTATGTTTTTTGATGTTATTCTTGTTTGAATTCAAGCAAATAATATTCCAATTACCCATGTGGTGCACGGATACAATTTTTTATTATATATTTAGATAATAAAATTAAAGATCATTTCTAATATTTGAAAATGTAAATTTATTTGATTATAGGATTAGTGCAAAAGTATCACTCAATTAATTTAATAATATATGACTCGTTTGTTTACAATTATCTTTAAAAATCGATATGTAATATGATATATGTAATTATATTATTACTAAAATAAATAGAAGAAAAAATGATAAATAATTTAATTGTAATTATTATAAAAATAAATCTAATGATCCATGTTTAGCTTAGTTAACATAATAATTATTAGTTAATTATACTAATATCTGTGCAATTATACTTTTATACTTTAAGTATATTCCTTTTCACCATATTGTATTTACTTTTTTCCTCATCCTCCATATATGAATGAATTAATTGTAATTATTATATAAAAAAAATCCAACGATCATGTTTAATTGTAATTATACTATTATTATTGTAATTATTAGCTTAATTAACATAATAATTATTAATCAATTATACTAATATTTGTACAGTGAATCTTTTAATTACTATAATAATTATTAGGTAATTATACTGATACTAATATTGTGCAATTATACTTTTATACCTTCAATATAAATATATATATATATATATATATATATATATATATATATATATATATATATATATATATAATCATAAAATTAATTGTAATAATTATAAAAAAATTTAATGACCCATGTTTAATTGTAATTATATTATTATTAAGGTAATTATTAACTTAATTATGATAATAATTATTAGTCCATATACTAATATCTGTGCAATTAATTCTTTAATTATCATAATAATTATTAGGTAAATATAATAATATTATGCAATTATATGATTACACCTTATGAATAAAAAAACATATAGACAGATTAGCATAAAATTACCATATAAATTAAATGAAATAATGAGAATAATAATTTATTTTCTTCTCATATTATTATGCTTAAATATAAATAAATACATACATACATACATACATCCATGCATACATACATACATACATACATACATACATACATACATACATACATACATACATACATATATATATATATATATATATATATATATATATATATATATATATATATATATATAATCAAAAAAAAGTAATTTTAATTAAAAAAAATCAACAATCTATGTTTAATTATAATTATACTAATATTCTTGTAATTATTATCTTAATTAACATAATAATTATATGTGTAATTAATTTCTTAATTAAACTCATCAATTTTAATATATTAGTTGTTTTAAAATTATATTGTGTGATCTATTTAATATTAAACCCATTCTATCTTATATGCATCGGAGTAATGACGGAAAAATATTGTTGAATAGAAATATGAATTTTAATATTGTTGTATTGTACTACGAACAGAATTTTAATGCAGAATTGTAGTACAAATACGAAAATAAGAAACAATATATTCCATTAGAAATTGTATTATGTTGTAAATATTTATATTTATGGCCATTAAACTATTTAGACCTTTCACTTGCTTAGCCTTTAATCATGTATTGATGTTGTGTACTTGAAAGGTTGTATATGACCACTATATAGAGTGAGTGAATATGAATGAAAGAGACACACTTATATGATGGTTATGTTATAGCTTGGTGTTATTCTTCTCCTTCCTTTTCCCCCTCTATGCACCTACAAACACATACATATACATACGCAATTCCGGGTGTATAACCGTGCAAGCATCACGCGAGAACCAACGAGCGAATAGGCCAAAACTTAACACGTTATCAGCACGCTCAATCTCGGTGAACGATCATGTCTTCTATCGCCAAAAGAGAATTTAATGAGCTCGCACTTGACGGTAGCAACTATTTGACTTGGGCTTTAGACATCGAGATTCATCTCGCGTCTAAAGAACTAAGCCAAACCATTGTTGCTGAGTCACAGTGTACAAACGCCCAGAAGGTGCAGACTCTCATTTTCTTACGTCACCACTTGAACCACGACCTGAAAAATGAATACTTGACTGAAAAGGACCCTTTGGCATTATGGGAGTCCCTGAAGGACCGCTTTGACCAGCAGTCATCGATTGTCCTCCCTCAAGCCCAATTTGACTGGCTTCACCTGAGGTTTCAGGACTATAAGTCAATTATTGACTACAACTCGGCCCTTCATAAGATAGTCTCGCAACTAAAGCTCTGCAAACAAGAAGTTTCAGAGACAGACTTAATTGAAAAGACTCTGTCTACCTTTCATGCGAGTAACCTTGTACTCCAGCAGCAGTACAGGGCAAAGAATTATGAAAAGCATTCTGATTTGATATCTGCACTTCTTGTCTACCTTTCATGCGAGTAACCTTGTACTCCAGCAGCAGTACAGGGCAAAGAATTATGAAAAGCATTCTGATTTGATATCTGCACTTCTTGTGGCCGAGAAGCACAACCAGTTGTTGATGAAAAACCATAATGCACGACCTGCTGGGTCTGCCCCCGCGCCTGAAGCACATCATATTGCCCAGGGAAGCAATTCTAGAAGGGGTCGAGGAAAGGGTCGTGGTAGAGGTCACGGTCGAAACAATCGAAGTGGTAAAGGCAAAGGCAACAATGACTCCCGGGCCCAAGATAAGAAACAAAGTGATCAAGGTTCATCAAGGTCACAAACATGTTATCGGTGTGGATGTACGGGACACTGGTCTCACACATGTCGTACACCAAAGCATCTGGTTGAAGCTTACAAAATGACGCAAAAGAAAAATGATAAGCAACCGTCAAGAAAGGAATCTCATCACACCAACACTGATTTGCCTGAAGCAAATGCAGTGATGAATGATGATGATGATCTTTTAAAATATGAGCTTGAAGACTTTGGTGATCAAGAATGATCTGTCTTATGCTCTTGGTTTATGAACCTATTTTTCGTATCGTTTTTTTTTTGATTATGAACTTATGTTTTTTCATATCGTTTTATGACTTGATTTCTATGTTTTCTATTTTATCATGATGAATGGTTCACCTCTTTTTTTAACCTCCACATGCTATTTTTTGTACCAAGGCATTGGTTAATTAGTAACGAACAACCACTGTTCGAGAAGTAACCCCGAAGATCTTACAACATTACAAAGTTGTTGTTCGCACAATGGAGCATGAACCAACATTGTGTTTGGTGGATAGTGCAACCACGCATACTATCCTAACGGATATGAGGTTTTTTCGTACCTTAAACGAATCAAGTAGTAATATTACTACCATTTCTAATGATCAGGTACAAATAGTGGGCTCCGGAAGAGCATCCATCATCCCCCCTAAGGGTACAAAGCTACTAATTGAAAATGCTTTGTTGTACCCTCAATCTAAACGAACCTTGCTGAGTTTCAAGGATATTCGTTCAAATGGTTTCCATATTGAAACCAAGACTAAGAACAAAGAGGAGTTCTTGACCATGACTCAGTTGATCACTGGTCAAAAGCGGGAGGTTGAGGAACTTGCCTCTTTATCCTCTGGGTTATATTATACCTATATACAACCCAATGATTCATTTGTGGCACTTACCATGAAACTAAAAAATCCACATTCTTTTCAAATGTGGCATGACCGTCTGGGTCATCCTGGGCAGAATATGATGGGCCGGATCATATCTAATTCTGCTGGACATAACCTGTCTAGATCTCAGGTACTTTCGCCAAATATGTTTACATGTGTGGCTTGTGCGAAAGGTAAATATATTGTACGCCCGTCGCGTACTAAGGTTGGACATGAATCGCCTATATTTCTGCAGAGATTGCAGGGCGACATTTGTGGACCTATTAGTCCACCTTCTGGACCATTTAGATATTTTATGGTCCTTATTGATGCTTCCACTCGTTGGACTCATGTTAGTCTACTGTCCACGAGGAACAAAGCTTTCGCTAAATTTGTTGCGAAAATTATTGAGTTGAATGCCCAATTCCCAGATTATCCCATTAAATCAATAAGAATGGATAATGCTGGAGAATTCACATCAACGGCTTTCAATGATTATTGTATGGCCTTGGGCATCAAAGTGGAACATCCTGTACCTTATGTCCATACTCAGAATGGCTTGGCTGAGTCTCTGATTAAGCGTATTAAATTAATCGCTAGACCATTACTGCAGAAGTCTGGTTTACCAGTCTCATGTTGGGGACACGCAGTATTACATGCTGCAGCTTTAATTCAAATCCGACCTAGTGCATATCATGATTATTCCCCCTTGCAACTATTACGTGGCGTAGAACTTAACATTTCCCATCTGCGTGTATTTGGGTGTGCAGTTTATACCTCCATACCACCTACAAATCGTACCTCCATGGGCCCGCAATGAAAACTAGGTATATATGTTGGTTATGAATCTCCTTCCATCATTAAATACCTAGAGCCCATGACAGGAGATCAGTTTACCGCGAGGTACGCTGACTGCATTTT